GTGCAGCAGCCAGAGCATCACTCACTAATGATGAGCTGGTGGAGAGAAACTGTAAGCAGAGGGGCTCGTGCCACTTTTGAATCCATCTATCCATTTCATTTCAGGTTATCAGACATTCTTTTCCACATTCAAGAGCAATCTAAGTTTCCATCTCTATCAGGGTAAAAAAGGTAAAAGGTAAAGGACCCAAGGATGGTTAAGTCCAGCAAAGGGAACTATGGGGTGCAGCACTTCAGGCCAAGGGAGCCGGAGTTTGTCCACAGACAGATTTCCGGGTCACGTGGCCAGCATGACTAAACTACTTCTGGTGCAACGGGACACTGTGATGAATGCATGGAGCACATGGAAATGCCATTTACCTTCCCACCACAGCAGTACCTATTTATCTACTTGCCCTGGTGTGCTTCCGAACTGCTAGGCTGGCAGAAGCTGAGGCAGAGCAATGGGAGCTCACCAACGCCACACAGATTCAAACAATGGGGGAGAGAACGCTTTCCCAGGTAAAATTCCAATGCTGAATTTTTCCATAGGAACAAAATCTCCATTGCATAAGCTCTTTAGCAATGATATGCCAACTGCTAACACGCTATCAGGCAAGCTTGGCAGTTTCAACTTCATTGGTTTGCTTAGTAAACACAAATAAAACAAACATGCAAAATTAGATCACTCTCTGGGACATCAAAAAAATTGCCAATGCAAAACTGTCCAAAACATTACTGAACTCTAAATCACAGAGGCTGCATTTCAGGTGATTTTCTAAGCCAAGGATGTAGAACCTGTTAACAGATGGCCTCCTCCCCTCCCCTCCCCTCCTATTCACATGCAAAAGGCTCCAGTCCTGACATCCTGTTTGAAATATAGCAACACAGAGATTTGTGCCATCCAGCCCAGTAAGGAAGGCAAACCATGTTTTGTTCTTGTTTTACATTCCAGCTTTGGGGGGGATCACTCAAACACAGCGTGTCAATTTGGACACCATTGTGAACTATGGCTTGGGCTCAACAAGAAGGGGAATTAAGTCATATGTGAGAAATAAGAAGGAAAGGGGAAAGGGGGAACACATGAGCTCAGCAATCACCACAATCCCCTAAAAGAGTGTTTGAAGGCTTGTCTGAATGTGAACAGTGAGTGTATACCTGTTTGTACAGACACTGTACAATGTACAAACTAGCTAGAGAATTCTGAACTCAAAGATATGCATCACCACAGGTGAGTATTCCCTCTTTTTAATTACCGTATTTTTTGCTCTATAAGACTCACTTTTTCCCTCCTAAAAAGTAAGGGGAAATGTGTGTGCATCTTATGGAGCGAATGCAGGCTGCGCAGCTATCCCAGAAGCCAGAACAGCAAGAGGGATTGCTGCTTTCACTGTGCAGCAATCCCTCTTGCTGTTCTGGCTTCTGAGATTCAAAATATTTTTTTTCCTGTTTTCCTCCTCCGAAAACTAGGTGCGTCTTGTGGTTTGGTGCGTCTTATAGAGCGAAAAATACGGTACTTTTTCATGCTGTAGCTAAAAATGTTTTTTCCCTGATCTTTCACTGTCTCAACCATGGACATTGATATTATAATACACAACAGTAACTGCACGAAGCAAAGAGGCATTGTTAGTCTGGAATAAGGTGGAAACGAAGTGCGTATGCACTCTCCGAAAATGAGAAAATGAAATCAACAGCAACATTTGTATGCCACCCATCTGACTGGGTTTCCCCAGCTGCTCTGGGTGGCTCCCAACAGAATATTAAAAACATGATAAAAGATCAAACATTAAAAACTTCCCTCTACCTACTTCCATTTGTGAAAGCACAAAGCAACTAAAATTGATGGCCAGTAATTTCTTCATAAACTATATGAGAAGGTCGTTTATAGACCTGGCAACTGTGTACAGTTTACCTTTATTTCTCTCGCTTGCCCAGGAGTGGTGATAGTAGCACCTCAAAGCTGAAATCCTAAAGCATGAGTTAGGGAATTAAACCCACTGAACTCAGTGGGGTTTGTTGCAGAATAGATGTGGTTGGAGGCTGTGTCTTTTCGTTCATTCCGCCTAACATTTGTTCTTAATTGGCAGTGACGTGTCATCTCATTAATAGAATTGGGGGGGGGGGAGATGCAACTATATACACATTGTTACTATACAGAGGTTTTGCATGTGTATTAATTTATCCCTTCTGAAGGGACGCTCAAGTGAACAGAAATAAGATGCAGGTCTCCAACCTCTGTATATCACTAGCTGTCATAAAAGGGTGGGAACCATATGTATGCAACCTTTGGTCCCACGGCAGAAGAAAGGCGTAGTGTAGTAAATATAGGAAAATGAATTTCTCAACATGCATACTGTGAGCCTGTCACATTCAGAATAATTAGAAATTTAATATGAGAAGGTATAATGTCCTTTATAAGATGGGTATTTAGTCAACACAACTTGCAGAAAATGGATGTGATCCTATACATACTTACTAGGAATAAGCCCCATTGATCACAGTGCAACTTACTTCTAAGTAAACATGCACAAGATTGTAGATAAGCCACTGTTGTCTGGCAAGAACCTCCAAGTATACAAAATAGGAAGGAAGAGTCTTAAAGTAAAGCACTAAATACTATTTTCATTTCAAATCCAAGCAATACTCATGACTGGAGGATATTTTATGGCAGTGGTACCTCGGGTTAAGTACTTAATTCGTTCCAGAGGTCCGTTCTTAACCTGAAACTGTTCTTAACCTGAAGCACCACTTTAGCTAATGGGGCCTCCTGCTGCTGCCGCGGTGCTGGAGCCCGATTTCTGTTCTTATCCTGAAGCAAAGTTCTTAACCTGAAGCACTATTTCTGGGTTAGCGGAGTGTGTAACCTGAATCGTATGTAACCTGAAGCGTATGTAACCCGAGGTACCACTGTACTAGATAGGGAACCCTTCTCCAACCCCTATCGATCTCAGCAACTGTGCCCCTTGGTCAGGAGAGATGGGAATTGTAGCCCAAAACATACAAGGTAAAACTGACAAGGTAAAACCAAAATGGGGAAGATCATGACCCAGTTGTGCTGCTTATAAAAACATTCTTTTCATATCATAAGGTTCATCGCTTGTTTAGACTTCATTTTGATTGCCAAGACATGCATTGGGCAAATTACTCACTTAAATCGACTTAATACGTTTCTTCTTTTCATTCAAAAAGAAAACTGTCAAAACAGTCTAGCCCTCTGGAGCACCATAACACCATTTACTATCAACATACCAATATTTCAAGCACAGACAAGTTGATACGATATTCTGCACCAGTTCTTCCTCAGAATGACAGTTTGCAATAACGGTCATATAAAAGCACAAATTCTTCAAACTGATGTGAAGGAGAGAGAGAGAGATTGAGGGCAGAGAAATAAATCTACAGTTCCTCTTCCCTCTGCCCCAACTGCTTAAGGCTGCTGTTACAAAAAAGAGAAAACGTCAGCTTTCATACATTCATTTTTTAAAAATTCAGAACAAGTGAATACAAAAACAAACACACTTTGTTTCCTCAGGTCAGAGTATTGCCTCCAGTATGGCGGGGGGAGTGTATCCCTCCAGGTGGTGTTAGACTACAACTCCCATCAACCAAAGCCAGCATGGCCCATGGTCAGGGATGATGTGATTTGTAGTCCAGCATTGCCTAAAGGGCCACAGGCTCCCCACACCTATAATACTGAATTCTCTCTAATCCCTGATTGTTTTACATACATACATACATACATACATACATACATACATACATCTTCAGATTGACTATCCCTGCAATAACATCCTTATTTTCAATTCAACTCCTTCTTTTGGTGACGTTTGAACAAAGATACATCTTCCTTTACATTAAAGCACATGGCATGCAACAATTACATAAACAAATAAACACTCAGATAAACATTTCTGAATTTATTAACAAAGTTGCAGCAAAGTGTATTTACCAAAATTATTACAAATATGAAATGATGCGTAGTAACATGAGCTCATCTTCCTCTATCCACCATTAGCTTCTCCCTTTCAGCATCAAAAACTTCCTAAAATCCTCATCCTTTCCCTGGACTCTTCTGTCTAACGGCTGTTCTTTCATCATTGTTTGCTAAAAGGAAAATAAAATTACCCACACTGCCAGCCTATACATGTCTACTCAAAAGCAAGCCCCACTGAGTTCAACAGAACTTACTCTTGGGTCAAGGTGTACAGAATTCCTGTCTAAGTAATCTTCACCTGCTCTGTTCAAGATGTGAACAGCCACAGATTAGCCACCTACAATTTGTATCATGAAAAATAATGTGGCATATTAAGCTATTCCTCCCCAAGCACCGCTGCTTCAGTCAAATTAGGAATCCCGTTCAATTGCTTTAAAAAGAACATTAGGCGACCTTGCGGTTTCAAAGCCTTTTGTTTTGTTCACTAAATGAAAGTTTAAAGAAAAGCTACATGACTATCATGGGTGGGGATCCAATCTGTTTCCCACAGATGTTGCTGAACTACTGCTCCCATCAGCCAAGACATAGTACATGCTTGCTGGGGCTGATGGGAGTTGTAGTTCAGTGATAGTTTGGGTACGTTTAGCCAAGAAAAGAGGAGAGTGAGAGGAGATATGATAGCCATCTTCAAATAGCTCAAGGACTGCCACATGGAAACTTGTTTCTTTTCCTGCTCCAGAGGCTAGGACCCGAACCAACAGATTCAAGACACAAGAATGGAGATTCCAACTAAACAGCATGAAGAACTTTTTAACAGTTAGAGCTGCTCAACAGTGGAACGGACTCCCTCAGAAGGTGGTGGACTCTCCTTCATTGGAGGTTTTTAAACAGATGGCCAACTGTCACGGATGCTTTAGCTGAAATTCCTGCATTGTAGGCAGTTGGACTAGATGACCCTTGGATCCCTTCCAACTCTACAATTATGATTCTGGCAGGCCAAAGGATTCCCACTCCTGTCCTAGTGCACTGAAATATTTTCTGATGCAACCTCAAAATTACCCATTAAATTTACCAGGAAACCCACGCCAACAGATGCAAACTTCCTGGCATTTTAGAAATCTCTGTACTGCACTGATAGCAAAATCAATTGTCCCTTGTTAGCAGAGGGCCTAAGCAAATAAGGTTATTTTCAGTTTATTTCACCAGATTAAAAATCATAATATTGAAACAAAATGAAAAAATGACAACGTACGTTTGTTGGACATACTGCAGGTCTTTGACAACAGTATTGTTCTTAAATTTTAAAATAAAGATACATTGAGTTAGCTGAAAAACAGCATGTAATGTATATATAATAAGTAAACAGAAACAAGGCAGCTACCAAACAAAACCTAGGTACATTTGTTTTCATTTCCTCTCCTTTTTCCATTCATTTTTGGCAGCACAGTTTGAAGTCTTCCTCTCCAATGTAAAGTCTTAACTAATTTTTCTTTTATTTACATTAAAGACAAAGCTTTGAAACTTCCAAAATATTAGCCAACCAATATTGGGGGGGTGGGGTTTGCTGTCGAGTCCTTTTACTCTCATTTTTCTTTTTCAAAGTGGGGGTGGGAGACTTGTTTTGAAAAGTAATACAAGTTTTCCCCACCTTCCACCAACAGACCAGATTACATGGATGCATTCTGGAGACATTTTACTACTGCAATTCAGTTCTGCTGCTTTCAAGAGTGAGACTGAGTGAAACAAAATATTTCCTCGGCCACAATACGCTTACTGTTTCCAGAGGGAAGTAAGAGGCCCTTTCAGCTTCTCTATTGTCCTATCTTTCTCAAAGATCACTGAAGAGACTTAAAAAAGTCACAACACAGTACAATATTAGTTAGTTCAGATGAGTGACTAGTACCCAAAATTCCACTTCAATTTAACTTATAAAGGAGAGAATACAGTAAAGGTTCTTCCTGGTCATTTTACAGCCTGGCATGCTTCTAGAGTTCATAGCTCAAATAGAAGGATAACATAGGCTCTGCCTGGGTTCAAACCCAGTATTTAAAGCAGGCTAACCAGATGTTAAAAGGGATGCGGGTGGCGCTGTGGATTAAACCACAGAGCCTAGGACTTGCCGATCAGAAGGTCGGCGGTTCGAATCCCCGCAACGGGGTGAGCTCCCCTTTCTCGGTCCCTGCTCCTGCCAACCTAGCAGTTCAAAAGCATGTCAAAGTGCAAGTAGATAAATAGGTGCCACTCCAACGGGAAGGTAAACAGCGTTTCTGTGCGCTGCTCTGGTTCGCCAGAAGCGGCTTGGCCATGCTGGCCACATGACCCGGAAGCTGTACGCCGGCTCCCTTGGCCAATAAAGCGAGATGAGCGCCGCAACCCCAGAGTCGGTCACGACTGGACCTAATGGTGAGGGGTCCCTTTACCTTTACCTTAACCAGAAGTTGAGCTCCTATCATCCTGTGCTGGCAGGGGCTAACAGAGTTGGAGTCCAACAACATCTGGAGGGCCACCGGTTTGTAACCCCTGCTCAACCCCCCCTCCAAAAAAACACACACAAAACCAACAACCTCAGGCAGCAAGGCTGGCAAAGATCTCCACCTGAGACCCTGAAGAACCACTTCCAGGCAGTGTAAGCCAGGGTTTCCTAAACTTGGGTCACCAGCTGTTGTTGGACTACAACTCCCATCATCTCTAGCTAGCAGGAACAGGTGTCAGGGAAGATGGGAACTGTAGTCCAAAAACAGCTGGAGACCCAAGTTTGGGGAACCCTAGTGTAACAATTTTTAGATAGGTGGACCAATAGTTTGATTCAGTGTAAGACAGCAGGTTGATAAGTTTGTATCCTTGCTGCAATCAAAGCCATTAGTGACCCACTGAGAATTTTCCATTCTAACTTGGATGACTTGGGAGTGGGGAGATGAACTATTTGGACAGGTGAGCCCATTCTGCCTACCTCCTCCTGCCTCACATTTGACTGCTTAAAACCAGAACTATTTCAGACAATGGCCTTTCATTGGCCTTGGTTTTCAGTAGTCAGAGACATGGTCAGAGCTTGGGGGGGATTCATGCTGGTTACGTTCTTAACAAAGTAATGGAAAGGCAGAAAGCAAACTTCACTCACAGAATGGCAAAATATAATAAGCAAGTCTCCTTTTGTTGTGTATATGCAAAACGGCTTTGAAATGATGAAACTCCTCCAGTGACAGTGTGTGAATTGTGGACTCAGCTATTCACTTAATTTAACACAGGAATATGCTATTCATAAGCTGAAAGCTCAAAGTAACACAGTACGCTCTTTTTTGTTTTTTAAAGTGCTGATCAAATCCAATATGTCTAAGCATGCTGCATGGGGGAAGGAGGAAGAGAGAGAAAAACCACCTCTGTGAAAACTGCACGCCACTTCAAGTTTTCAATGTAATCTATCACAAACAAAACTAACGAGAGCAGCTGCTAAACCTACCGGTATCAAATGGGCACCAAAATATTTGGAACAAGCTACAGGATGTGAGTAGTAGAATATCACACAACTCAACATCTGATATGGAGACAGCCATGCAGAGTTCACCAAGAGGTCTGCAAGCTTCCCAGCATGGAACACAGCAGCCATAGAAAAATACTATAAATGCAACGGTTCAGCACAGCGTTGCCTTGCTGAAAAGAGGCATTGTGAGTTATTCTGCATTACCGGACTAGATGACATTAAACACTGTCTTTATAACCGCAGCCTGCATCAATTCACACCGACAAATTCCTAAACAACTTGGACCTCAAATAACTGAAGGAACACCTCACCCCCAAGGTGCTGATACAGAGGAGGCCCTGCTGGCAGTTGTTCCACCCTGCAAAGTTCTGTCAAATAAACGTGCTAAATCAGATCCCAATCAAGTTAGGACTACTGGAGCATTTTCAAAAATGTTTCCCAATTCATAATTTGCCAGAAAGCCAAGATTGCTTCTGGCAATGGGAATGTAAGGTCGCAGCTCTAAGCAGTTTTATGGCATTTTTAGCTGGCAACTCTTCCGTTTTGCCTAAACTACAAAGTTTTCATCAGTTGTATGGCATTATGTCTGTTGTAGCACCCTGCCCCCCCCCAAATAAACAAGTAGATAATACTTGGTACCTCCAGTACTTTTTTTCTTTTTAAAAAAATGTTTAGGGCTACTCTTATTTTCCTACTCATATTGAAATACTGTCCCACAATGAGGCCAAACTTAGATTCACAATATGTTTAGGGGTATGCGTACCCCTGAGTTTCTCCCCCCCCCAAAAAAATAAGCACTGGTTACCTCTATCCTCTTCATCCCTACCTCTGAGAACAGGAAATGCCCATTTGTCTTTAGTACCAATATGCTCCTGAAGAAATTAGACATCAAAAGAACAAGTGTCCATTGAGATGCACTGAGCTGGATTCAAATTCCTAAATATTAAATCCCTGGTGGGCAGTGTGTACTGCAAGATTTGAATATCACTGTGCAAACTGCCCCACAAATTGTGGTTGATATTAGCCAATAAAAGGAAACTGTGAGTGTAATGTATTTCCAAATTTTCTTTTACCGCCTGTTTTAAACATGTATAACTGCTGATCTTCTACATGCAAACACTTAGTTTTGAGAGGTGACCTACCTTTGTTCTGCATAAAACATAGCACACAATAATATTCAAGTCAAAATAGGATCAAAACAAGGGAAATCAAAGAATTCCGACACTTTCCCTTGTCAGCTGTCTCAAGACAGATGGAGAACCCATGCGGCTGTCCAAGCATAGACGCTGTTCTAAGAATTCACCTCCTACAACGCAATATTAAGTCACTCTTGTATGCCTGCCAAGTCATTCCACAAGACTGTGGATTTTGGTAGGTATTCAGTCACTTCAGAAGTACAGTCTGCACATTATAACTTATGCATCGGTTGTCAAAGTGAATTCAACATTGAAGTTTTAAAACCATTTCACACATCTTGTATTCTCACTGATGGAAGAGGTATTTTCGGAGGGAGTACAGAAATCATATCTATCTACGGATACGGCGCAGGGCGAAGAAACTAATACAGGACCTAAGTGACATGACAGGGAATGGTATGACCAGGCGCAGGGGAGCAGCATTCTTAGCACACTAGTTTTCCACACAGGATAAATGGCTATGAAAATAACACCCTGCTATTACCTCAGCTATGCCCTGACTCGCTGAGTTCAGAATTCAATGAAAGCACAAAGGGAGACCGAAGACTGCACACCCAAAGATATCACTGAGACACCCATCCAGAAACTGCTAAACCGAGAACCTGTTATCTTAGCCACAAAGGAACAAGCATCTCTTTTCCAACACATGCTAACTGTGGGAGCACAGCCCCTGCTTAAAAATAGCTGAATAAATGGCTCTATGTGAACTGAACGCTGGAATCTCTTCGTTTATGTGAATACACTTCCCCTATTCAATAATGAACAACTGAAATGTGATATATGGACTGGGACCAAAGCCCTAAATAATTATCACTCAGGGCAGAAAATTACATACACGTTGGAGTCAGGCTAAGTGTACAACAATGCCCCTCTCTGCCATGCTGATGACTGGGGAAGGGGGGGTGCATAGGGTGCCTTTCTGCTGGACTGCACCAGAAGTGCAATGGGGGGGGGGGGACTCAGCTGCAGCAAAGGTCTGATCTGTGACCAGGTGGATGGAAAGCTAATGCAGACAGTTTGCCTGCCAGTGGTAGAGAATGGGGCGTCTCTGGGTTGTGGATCCCAATCTCCAGGCCCTTTAGCTACACCAGCATGGAGCTGCCATTGCACCTTCCACTCTGGCCAGAGGGAGCCAACAGAGCTTGGCACGCAGCAGTGGAACCGAACCAGTTCTCGCCAGCCCCACACGATTGCTCTGCTCAGGACTCAAACATAGCTTAGCCATGGGCTAACCTGTCGCAATCATTTCAATGGGACTGTACGTAACAAGCCAGACTGACAAGGCACCTCTCCCTAAGGAAAGACTTCATTTCATTTTAAAAAGCCGTTCTAGTGATCGTCTTGTACTATTTTTAAATGATGTTTTATTTCTGTAAACAATGTTGATGTTGCCTCACATAAATGGTGTCATGTAAATACTCTTATCTAAATAAAGCAAACACATTTCACCACAGCACCTTCTGCTCCACCTACATCACTGCAGGAGCCAGGATAGGAGGCGGGGGTGGGGGGTGGATGGGCTGGAGAACAGCTAAATTGCTCTCAGATTAGACAGTGCTTATTTCTGATTTTAAGAAGCAGAGAGCATTCTTGCATGCCAAAATTTAAAATGCCAGAACATAAAGAATCAGCGCATATATAGGATATATATATGCATGTATTTCCTATAAACATAATTAGCACTGACTTACAAATTGTATTTTTTCTCCCTCTTCAAGATAACACCATCTAATTACCGGTCTGCACCATCTGTAACAACACCGAAACCTTTTTCTTCTGGAGGAGGAATCTACTCAAGAGCAGTTATTAAGTTTGGGAAAGCAGCAATTGTACATACAAGGAGTGGAATGTAATTTCACCGCCAGGAGAATTTATATGTGAGTTAAGAGCTTGGGGAGGGGGGAGATGGGGGGAGCAGAAGAGAAACACAGTCTTTGCTAGCTCTGCATCTGACCTGAAAATGCCCAAAAAAAAAAAAAAGGAAGATGCCTGACTGCTAAGAGCTGAGCAGGTGCATAAACTGCAGGGGACTTTTCTTTCAACGCTGCAGCTTTCAAATAAAATGGCACCTTGAGGCATCGGTAGGTAACAAAACAAAGCTGTGCAAACCAGCCATATGGTCACGTTATGTATTTGTTTCCCCCTGCAAAGCACAGTTCTGCTTCCAGTGGAGGGCATTTATTAAAAAACATGCTTCCAAATAACATCAAATAACAAGTTTCCAGCAATGCACATCTGGGGCAAATGCTTTATTACTCCGAGTCCTTTGCTCTCTTTGTCTGCCTCCCAGGTAAGAAGACGACAAATCTCCCTACATTCCCTGTCGAAGCAGCTCTGATAGCTTTGGACCTTTAGCCAGTTTCTGAGCCCTCCACCTGACGGACAGTAGCACCGGCAAAATTGAGGAATGCATTGCAGCAGCAAAGGAATCAATGGCTGCATTATGTTCACAGTATTCGTAATAAAGGAGTTCATTTAAAACGATCATAGCACTAAAAGGTTTTCGAAAATCTGTAAGCAGCTCTCTTCCATGTTCTTATGTCGATATGATTATAAAGGAATATTAAGTTACACAACATTACCCTGAGATTGAAGCCCAAATTTCAAAGGAACCAGCATTCCAGGGCTGGCCAAACATTCCCCAGAGGCAACTCAAATCGCTTTAACAGATAAAGGGAGAGAGATCCCTCAAAACCCCTTAAAAAAAAACAAAAAACCACTATACTGTTCTATTCTACAGTCTTGCGTCCTCACACCCCCACTTCCCCCTCAGCATTCAGCTGCTCCATTCAGAAGCCACTTTGTCAACTGAGACGGTCTCCTAATGCCAAGTTATGCCGTGGGATAAGATGCCTGGAACTCAAAGCATCTGGAAATATTCCCTCACAGACACTTAACACTATTCAAGATGGTAACGTCCTCTAGACACTCCACTATAAACAGAAAGAAAGATGAGAGAGGGGGCAAAACAGCAGTTTGCTCTTAGGTTTCTTGGTCATACGGGGGCTCCAGAGCATTGGGGAGGGGCAGAGGAACACACTGAAACAAATTTGGTTGCCATAGCAAACAACTCACTCATTTTTGGCGACTTGCATGAAAGCGATTGCCACTCAGCCTCGATGCTCCTCTTTCACAAGAACCTTTTAAACCCAGCCTGTCCCTAGCTATGCTCACTGGGGCTGACAGAAGTTGACTGCCAAAACATGTGGAAGGGACCTGATTGCGGAAAAGCTGTTTCAGCCTCTTGTCATGCTGCAGAAAGGAGAAGCAAACCGCTAGAAACAAAGCAAGAAGCAAAAATAAACAACAAACCATGAGGGCAAATAGTTCTGCTTTTCTGTCCCGCTGACTTAAATAACCTAAAATACAGGGTGGGGGAAATCCAGTTATTTCAGCTACACCTGCCCCCCCCCCACTTGCAGAGACTCAATGATGTTCCCCCAACTACTAGACTGAAGGGTCTCTGCCCAGCTCCCCCTTGAAAGCTGTGCTTGGACAAAATGTTGGCTCCAGATGTGTAAAAAAAAAAAAGGGTAAAGGACCCCTGGATGGCTAAGTCTAGTCAAAGGCGACTATGGGGTTGCGCTCATCTCACTTTCAGGCCAAGGGAGCTGGTGTTTGTCCATAGACATCTTTCTGGGTCATGTGACCAGTATGACTAAACCGCTTCTGGCACAAGGGAACACTGTGATAGAAGCCAGAACGCACAGAAACGCCATTTACCTTCCCGCCAGAGCGGTACCTATTTATCTACTTGCACTGGCGTGCTTTCGAACTGCTAGGTTGACAAGAGCTGTGACACAGCAATGGGAGCTCATCGCGGGGATTTGAACTGCCAACCTTCCGATTGGCAAATCCAAGAGGCTCAGCAGTGGAGTTCAAAGTCCACCTGGCCCCCACATACCAAACATCTCTCAGCCCAGGCTTTCCACAGAAGGAGCCATATGGTGCTTGCATCGTGGTTAGGCAGGAAGCTTCTTCATTGAATTGAGGCAGAAGAACTCCAAACAAGTCATTTGGGACATGATAGCTCCCCCCCCTTTTGATTCCCAAGAGCCTCACATCTGCGTGGTCTCTTTCTGTATCAACAGCTTAACATTTAATAATTTGAATTATTCTTGCCTGTGTGTGGCAATGCTTGCCCTCCTTGGCCAAGCCAGCTGCTTTACTCTAACAGACTACCATTTACAAAGCCCTCTCTGTGTATCCTCAGCTCAACTCCTCCTCTATTCAATAAGACTTAACACAGAGATCATTTTACGGAGAACTTCAAAAGAAAAGCGCCTATACCTTACACCCTCCACAACCCTCATTCCTGTTCATGCTACCAGAGGTTGGCTACCGGAATAATCAAGAACAGATATTCAATTAGAGATGGAATTCTTTTCTTTGAACAGGAGGCAGGAGCCACTAATACGGAAATAATGGATTTGACAGAAGGTGCGGTGGCTTTAGACTCTAACGAAACCTTACTATCAAGACAATTTAGGCTGCAAAACTACATATAGCATCTGAGTACAGATCGGCTGAAAACAGAACTAGCCTAAGGATAACTTCAGCATGTAAGGTGACAAGACAGTTTAGCGATTATAGAGTAAACAAGGTTAGATATGTTGGGAGCGCGTTCAGATCAGACAAACAAGAAGTGCTGTTTATGTCACACTCTCTTACAAAACAACTCCAACTGCGGTATGAGACATTTCCTCGTTGGCCCTTCTCTATTAGAATAAAGTCACAGCAGTTCAAGGCAATGGTACATCTCTGCATTCTTCCCAAAGTGCAACTTGTCTGGTCTCAACCTCAGTTGTAACATCAACAGCTGAGTTGAGGGCCAGCTTGATAAAGACTATGCTGTGGGGGGTGGGCACTGAACCTGCAGTCCCCAGATGCGTTGGGCTCCAATTCCCATCAGCCCCACCCTGCATGGCCAATGGTCAGGGATGATGGTAGTTGTAGTCCCACAATCTCTGACGGGCCACAGGTTCCTCATCCCTTCTACATAGTTCCAGAGGTGGGAAGACTTCTTGCTTGTGGGATCTACTTTTATTCAAACCCCTAGATCCATCAATCAGGGATCAGTGCAACCACCATTAAAGAATTCCAAGCTGGGGAATATTTATTTAGTACCAGAACTGAGCAGAGCATACAGTCTTCCCACAGAAATTTCCACGAATGTGTGCTATTAAAAAAACACCACCCCACATGTTTTGTTACTCCAAGCTTTCTTCATTTCAGGAGTATAATAAACAGGCCAGTGCTGCTATACTATTGTACATCATAAATCTCCTACAGGCTGCCCATAGATCTACCAGTACACCCAGATCTGCTTTTGGTAAAGACTATATGAACATTCTGGTTTCTTAATTTCAGAATAAACATTTCAGGAAGATGTTCAGTTCTAGAACACATGAATGTACATACATAACCTGCCAATAATTTTTAATTCAAAGTAGATCTTCACGTGGCAAAGCGGTCAATACAATTCTTTGTTCCTTAGTGTGCACACGTGTGCAAAAAAATTACATGCTTTGTTACCATATGCGGTGATGTTCAGAACTGCTATCTATTATAAACCCCAACCAGTTGGAACTTAGGTTATGTTATGTGGAGTACACAATTCTTTATCACAAGCTATCCATACATCAAGGGAATGACTGCAGCAATGCTGTTGATACTTTGAGAATTGTATAACAACTATATACATTAGAAATATTCCATGTCAATATAAAAAACCAACAAACCTTTGCAAGGTAAAAACCACTAAGCCTCTGACAAAGCAACTTTTCTGATTCTGAATATTTAACTATTTTTCTGATCCTTGTCTGAGAAATCTTCAACTTTTGCCAGTTATGTGGTTCATACAAATCTATTCAAAGTAATTGTGTTTCTTTAGAATGCTAGAAAGTGTAAATTGAAGAGTCAAAATGATTTGCATTCAAATCCCAAATTAAGATATGCACTCTTGGGTAATTTACTCTGCCCAATGCTTTATTCTATTTTCTTTTAAAAACCCAGTAACACACATTTAACTAAAATATAAATATAGCTCTGGGTGGAATCCACACAAGCTGTTCCTCCAATTATATTTATAGTTATAGCAATTGCAACAGAATGAAGTAAATAAGGAATTAATACAGAAAGAAGCAAACCCTTAGCAATCTGTTATTGCTATCATGAGCCATTTGCATACAAAAATTCAATGTAAAAGTTCTACAAGAGTGTCCAGCTGCATTATTGCTAAAAGTGAATAGTCAGTGGTTTCTAGGAAGCCTACAAACAGATTGTGAAGACAAAAACCATGTCCTTGTGTTTGACTCTCAGCAACAAGGGTTCGAAATTAGCAGGGTGCCAGGTGCATTTTGCACCTAAAGATTCTCCATTTGCGAGCACCTCAACAGGTCCGGGTGCCATTTTTTGCACCCGGCTGACACTCAAGAATTACTGAAATGTATGTACTTTGAAGCCTCAAAGTATATGTTAAGGACAGACTATATGTTAAGGAGTTTAACAATAAAGAGTATAGTGTTTTGAAAACTGAAGTATGGTATCAATATTTTTATTGTAAACATCAAATTAAATATGCATTAACAATTTCCCAGTTTCTAACACTGTCAGCAACCAGTATTTAGAGACTGAAACACTGAACGTTCCATTTTGCATCATCAATGAATCTATCCAACCTTGTAGAATTCGAAGGTGATAATATGGACTGTTCCAATTCCAACTGAAAGGGGCATTAATGCCCCCTTGCATAAAACCTCCTACAAGTATAAACTAGCACATTAGAGGCAAAGCAGCCACTCCTTGTTGTTCTAAGTTTCTACTTACAGAGCAGTATATAGTTTTTATGCCGGGAGCCCTTTATGAATTGACCTAGCATGTCCACCCAACCACCTGATTCTGTTCCATGTGTGAACCAAGCCTAGGAGAAGAAAATAAGCAAAAGAAAATCAAGCAAAGCTAACAGCAAACCTGAAAAGGACCATCAGAAGCTTCAGATAAATAATATATTTAACAAATGTAAAACATTTAGTTATCCAAACACTTAAGAATCCATAACACACATGCTATGACTATGGAGGTTTGAAACAAACAGTCCATAAGCCCTTTCAAAATACGCATACACAAATTGCTCCACATTCGAGAGAACCAACCAACTAACTACCAGCAAATCATAAAATCGTAGACACACAGAACTGTAGAGCTGGAAGGGACCATGTAGGTCATTTAGTCCTGCCATGCAGGAACATTTTGCCCAACATGGGGCTCAAACCCACAACCATGAGATTAAGAGTCTCATGCTTTACCAAGTTATCTTCATATCACATATTCATGTATAACTGGTAAGTGGGCACTGCTATTAAGCAGATGAGGGCCAATAAAAGGAAGTACCCATTC